CCCCAAAACCCCAAAACCCCAAAACCCCAAAACCCCATAAGTCTAGATAGTCAAAACTATCTCTAATAAAAATAATGTTAATAAATAATCAATTTTTAGTATTTAATTTAGCTAAATCAATTAGATTTTACAGAAGAGAATTCAATTATACAGTGAGAGTTTTTGCCTTTTTTCGAACGTCCCTTGTAATCAGGGCTATTCTTGTTCTAGACACCTTTTTAAAGATTTCTGATATCAATATAGTTTGGATTTTCCATGTTTAGGTCTTTTACTATGTCATCCCATTTGACACTGTGGAATGTTTAATGCTTTCTGGAATTATCAGCTATAATAATCTATGATTCAAGCTAGCTTGGACTTAAGTCTTTTTTGTAGACTATCTCAGGCTTATCAGGCATTTCCTCGTATCCCACAGGGACCATATAATGATTATAACAGTGATATATGTAACTTTTAGAATTTGTAGCAAGACCTTCTTTTAATTTATCTAAAATTTCCAGTGGCTTAGCCTCACTCGTTACATTTTTAGATCCTTTGGGTTTATACATTATTCTAGATCTTCCCTTTACACCGTGATGGTTACAAAGAACTGAAAACCATTTCAGGATGTTTTTGTTTCCAGTAAATGGTCCAAAGACGATATCTTCATAAGGTGGTTTAAAGTCAAGAATTTATAAGGCTTTTTCTTAGGTCAGTATTTCATGATAGCCATGGCCTGATAATTTTGAGAATAGATAATTCCAAACTGCTACAAGACTAGAAATTCCACATGACTTTCTATACTAGGGTCGAGATACACAATACCATCTGCCAAGATCTAAATGTTTTCTCGTTTTCATTACTTTAATTGTCACATCATTAAACACGTTGGGTTTACTTTAAGTATCACTTCTTTTGAGTGGTATAGCAGTCTATATTTTGCTAGATTAAGAGGACTATCTTGGCTTTACTACAGCAATCACCTAACTCTTATTTCTCTTTTTGTCTTTTTGTTCGGTCTCAGAATCATGGGAAGATATCTAATCACTTATTTCAGAGTCATCGCTTTCTACACTTATTGTATTATTTAGAATTTTTTGAACAATAGTCTTCTCATCAAACTTTGGATCTTTTATGCTTTCAATCTTTTTTTAAATCAAAGAAGATGCAGATCTTTGACTCTCAATTTCATTTTTCTTTCCAGAATCAAATGCATATTTGGTACTCTATACACTTGGAGTGATATTATTACTCTTGATTTGTTCTAATGAATTTAAATTTTCCTTCACTATTGAAGGTAAAATTGCTTTTTATATATGTCCAGAAACTTTTTTCTTATTTCCCGAGCTTTAATGCATAGTATTGTCAATTTAGAATTAGGATTCTAATTCATCATAGCCTGTTGAAGCTGTTAGGTTTTCTTTGTTGAGATTAAAGAAAGTCCAATTTTTACTATTATTATCAGTTTTAGTCAAAGGTCTTAAGACTCTAGATCTATTAGATTTCATTTATTGAGGCTCTTTAGAGTGCTTTGTGCTATTTTGGCTTTTCCCTTCTATTGAATCATTTAAATTTTTGCTCAAATTTAAATATGCTCCAATTTTTATCCTTCTTCCTTAAATTATTGATGTATCGGGGTTATCAATGAATGATTTTGATTCTTCTCTTAGAGAGTTTTCAATAAAATTTGTTCTATTATGCAAAGGTGGTCTGCTGGTCGAACGATTTATACAGTTGCTACTGGTAATCATTAAAATTTTAAGAATAATTCAAATTTATTTTTTAACTGAATTTATTAGGCTCACTTTAATAAGCATTTGGGGGTTTTGGGGTTTTGGGG